AGCACTTGTCATAGGTGCACCCTCAGGCAATAAAGAAAGATGGAAGAAGTGAATCTGGCTATGTTCTGCGAGGGATACATTCATCCACTGTCCATTTTACCGTTCAAGAAGATGGCACAGCTTGTCCATTTTGCCGTTCAAGAAGATGGCCCAGCCTTTTGCAGCACTTCCAAAGGTCGGGCTCGTCCCCACCTTGGGACTTGAGAAGTCACCACTTTAATTTTCTCATTTCTTTTTTCTTCGTTTTTCTGAAGTTTTCTTCGTTTTTCTGGAATGTCGCAGGCGTCGCACTAGGCCATGACTCGTGTGTTAGTGGAACCGTGCCCCAGATTTGACAGGTAATTGAATTGGTTGGGCTTAAAGAATTAGGGGCTCGTTAGACACTCCTCGGGCGCTCAAAAATCCCGAGGAAATGATCGTTCCATCTGTCCTTGGAGAGAGTTCCTTGGAAAGCGATGTGAAAACATTTCCTCGGGTTGTCCTCGGGGCGTCCTCGGGCCACAGCCATTTGGCTGCGCTCCCCAAGGCACCTCGCGAGGTCCCTCGGAGTGGGAGTTTCCGCGAAAATCGGGACGGCGGCGGCAGCCTTCGACGACGGCACAGTTTTGTAGTGTGGTACAACGGTGGTCCAGTCGAGGTGTGGGCGGACATTACCGGCCGGCAACGTTCGACTTCGGTGGGGACAGCGGCAACGGTGACAAAGAGTGGCGGACGGGGTCCGTGGAGGGCCCGAGGTGACCCGGCCGCTCGCGCGTGCCGGCGGGAAACGGACAGGCCTCCAACGGGCAGCCGTTTCAAAATTCGTCGGGCTGTACGTCCGTCGCCGACAGCAGAGGCCCGCAATGTAAACCGGCGGTGGGCATCATCAGCCATCACTTGGCGTCTGCTGTTTGTCGTCGTCAGGTTGGCCGTTACGCTGCGGTTGTCTTACATGGCCGACGTATTCTGCAAGTTGCCGCTGCTCCTCCTCGTCGTGATTCTGCTTGTCGTTGTCGTCTTTGTTCACGTGTGCATATTGGGGAGGTTGCCTTCACGTAGTCGCAGGAAAGTAGGGGCGAGGAAGAGCGTTGCCATGGACGGGAGGCGGCCGACTCAGAGGACGTTGTCCGACCCTTATCCAACCGACCGGGCTCCGATCTGTGCCGGTGCAGACAGAAGGGCGGCAGGTCCGTCACCGTACGAAGGACTGCCGCCTCACTTGCAACCGCTGCCCGATTCGGACGAGGGGGAGGCGGAGGTGGACGTGTCGACGACAGTTCCGCTGGGTAGCGGGTCTACCCAGGAGTGGACGGGTAGCCAGTTGTATGATCGCCGCGGGACGAAGTACGGGCAGTCGTTCACTTCCCTCCTTCACGACGGCGCGGAGGAGGAGGATTGCCTCCCCCCTGTCGATCTCACATTTGGCCTCCGGAGCGGGAGCCCGTCTTCTATCACGCGCACTGTGCTCGTGAACCCTCTTCCCGACGACGACGCGGGGCAGGTCACATTCGGCGGCAGGGGCACAAGGGGTGTAGCGGCGACAGAGGTGACGCCGGGGAAGACGACGGCATGGCCTCGAACGCAGGCGACTTCTGGCCCGTCAGTTCCACGCACTGTCGGGCAACGTCCTGAGTGGATGACCCTCAGTCCTCCTTTGTCCGGGGGGCGCGACGGCGTTTGTCGTCCCGTTGATCGGGCTGTGACTCACGAAGATTTCCCTTCCGAGGGCGCGCATGGAGATGGCAGGCGGGTGTGGAAGGATGCGAGGCAAGAGTTGCGGCGGCAGCAAGAAGAGTCCATAACGAAAGGTGTGGAGCGTTTACGCGTGGGCGAGCGGAGTGGGCAAGCAGACGTGGCCGCCGGGGGGGGTGACGCGTGGGCAAACGCTGACGAAGTTCAGTGCGATGTAGGCGACGACGACAGCGGCGGCAGTCCCTTTTCTGCACCCATGGCAGTTCGGGAAACCCTTGTCTGCCGCCGCAACTCCTGGCAAACGATGCACCCATGGCAGTTCGGGTGACGCATGGGCAAACGATGCACCCATGGCAGTTCGGGAAACCCTTGTCTGCAAAAGCACGCAGAACGATCGCCTTCYGCACCCCAGTCGGCCACGCCACCTTCTCCCTGTACACCGAAAGTAGCGCAGCAGTAACGTCCCGGACGGCCACCAAACCTGAAGCCCTGCCAATCCCAAAGCTGCAGCTGCTGCTCTCGTATGTCTCGCCCGACGCCCACTTGTACAGCGCGTAGGCGACGATCTGGTCTGGTTGCAACGGTTCCCTATAGAACGTCACACGTCGCTGGAGAATCGACGACAAGTTCTCAACGATCTCGCGGAAGACACGTGGAGACATCCGTAACTTGTCGCGGAAGTAATCGTCAGTGGCGTCATCCGCAGGCCGAAGATCCTCCCAAGTCCCCCCCGTCCTCCTTTTTACCCATCACCTCGGTGTCGCCCTCGGTAGTCCCCCACATCCCAGTGCACAGCACACCTCCAACACGGCATCACAGATGGCAGCGCTATCCAACGTTTCAGTCGTCGTCGCCGGCGTCAACTTCCTTCTCCGGGCACATAGTCGTGCCCACCGCCGTTGACCTTCGACCTCCATGTCGCAATGCATGATGACGGCGGCTACGGCAAACGTCACGGCAGCCCTCTCCACAGCGGACAACCTGACCCCGACGTCATCCCCATCACCCACTCCACGCACATGGACCACCTCAGACATTGCACTCATCCTCGCGGAGTGAACTCGCCCAACACTCGACCGGACGCCCCCAGCAATGGACACTGCCCACGAGCAAGGCGGAACGAGACGCTCACCACAGTCGACGAAGGGCCACGGAGAGGCATCTCTTCAAATACGTGTGGAACATTGCGATGACGCCACAACGGCTAGCGGCTCCCTCGCGTGACGCCCACTGCAAAACCCCCCAGAGTCCCCCATGGGGTCACCCCAAGGTACCCACATGTCCCCGCGGAACCGCACCGCACGGCATGGTCGGCCGATTCGAAATTTGAATTTTGAAAGTGCACGCGCGCGCGCGGATTTTTTTCCTCATTGAGGTGGCGGCAGTCCCTTTTCGAATTCGAAGGCCGAACACGGTGGACCAAGGCCGCTCGCACGGACACCGGACGATGGACCACCGCCCAAACTTTCGTCCCGCGGCCGCGTATGGAATTATACGTCTCCCTGCGGCCAGTCCTCGGAGCATCCTCGGGCGTCGTCCCGAGGGAGCAGTGGAACGAAAGCGGGAAATTCCTCGGGCTGCCCCAAGGATTTCCCCTCGGAGCCGGAGGACGCTACCGCGCCCCTTAGCCTTGAAAAAAAAAAACAAGAAGCCATTTTTCAGAGGTAACTTTAACACAACCTACGAGGTTGACACTAACAGCGTTGAGTTTCCTCACCATAGGAATCTGGACGCGTTTGTGGAGATGTGCAGAAAATCGCGTTGAGTTTTCTGGACCGCACATCTCCACAACCACACGTCCAGATTCGGGCGTTGAGGAAAGTCAACGCTTCTACGGGTAGTGGGACTTGGCCCTGGGTTCGCTATAGACCCTACCGTCGGGGAAATTATGGGCCTCGCTGCACTACTCTCCATGTGCAAAATGAGACTGAATCCTCCCCTAGAACTTGGAAACATACAATGCAATTTTTCGGTCTTTTGTGCATGTGGAGACTACCCGTCTTCCCCCGAACACAACGCACCCTTAATTTGGCCGTATCTGGCTGGAAATATAGCTTGTAGACATTCATTTTTAGAGTGCGTTATGTTCGGGGGAAGATAGTAGTGGAGCGAGGCCCTATCTCAGTTGTTCGCACCAAGCGCGCTCCAGCCGAGCCACGTCTGATTAGTTTTTTTGTTTCTTTTTTAGTTGGGAACAACATAATAATATAGAGAAAAAAACAAAAACAAAGGAGAGGTTCCGCTGCTCGTGTGGACAAGCGGAATCCGTCAACAAGAAGCGGAGCTCCTTCCCACTACGTACCGGTAGCATGACCCCCAGCCAACGTTCAGCGCGCGTGCGGCGCCGGGTTCCGCGGGCTTGCGCGGCACGCTGCAGTGTCGCGCACCAGTATAGAAAGCGGCATGGGAGCTCGCCAGGGCAGGTGGGCGTTCACACTGCCGCCCGAGTTGTTGGTCGGGATCGCTGCGGACGGTGCATCCCCCGCCAATTAGCGGCAATCATTGGCGGGAGCTACGGGTAGCCACGTCACACCCGCCCCGCCGCTGAGTAGGCTCTGGCAGGGTATTTGAATCAGTCTGGCTGGGGTCGGGATCGGCGACAGTGTCGCGGTCGGGTCACGCCCTTGATTACATCGAGGGCGTCTGGCGGCCTTATGGCGCGCCGAGTCTCGCTCCCCGGCCTCCTCCTAGCAGGAAGGGACAGCCCCCGGGTTCCTGCGTGCGACGTACGGAACAGGATGAATGGCAGTATTTATTGTAATATGAATGTGAAAAATATTACAAATATTAATAAGATTAATAGTATTAATATTACTACTAATAGTAATATTAATAATGATCATGAACAGGCCATCAAGGGCCTCTTCGATCGGTCGATGACGTCACGAGAACGACAGCTGGCGCTCCAGCTGACTGATCCTCGCGGGCCGGGCGCCACGTGTCAGTCCCTCCGTGCGACACGGCATCAGGGTGGCCGAAAGGACGTTGAACGCGGCAATTCCGCCACTACGAGATTTGGCGCGAAGTCGTCGCGTAATCTTTCGTCAAGGCCATGGAGACAGTTTCCTGCCATTCTGTCCGTTGCGCCACGGCGCCTAAGAGTCGTCTCTGAGCAGATATCGCTTGGCGGGAAACGGCTAACTGCAGATGAAGCGAGCCACGGGCGTAGCGATGGTAAGAGATTTATTTATCTACATTTACTGTACTAATTTTCTAGAGCGTGTTCGCACATTAGGATTTTATTCGGAATTTTAAGATAAATAAATAAGATACAAAAAAAAAAAAAAAGTCCTCAGCAGAAAAAAAAAAAAAAAAAAAAAAAAAAAAAAAAAAAAAAAAAAAAAAAAAAAAGAGAAAAAGCAATCCTCTTGCACACACAA